TACCGTTCGCATTCGCATTGCTAGCTTCCCCGCTAACATTACCGTCCGACGAAGAAGGCTGAGAGACCTTCCCAGCATCTAGTTCTTTTCCGGCTGCCATGATCCTTCAATTTTGATTCGCAGAGAGACGAGGCCAGCTGTCGCGCTATCACGATATCCAGTTTGGTCGCGGCCCTTACGGCAACATACAGATCGTTCGATCTTTACACACCTCTTCCAATCACTTAACACCAAAATCTGGACTATCTACTGATGGTTTCGATTTTAATCTCTATGGTATCAATGGGGTTGTAGATTGACAGCAAATTCAATCGCTTGTGGATGTTGGTATCGACCGTTGTACCGAGGAACAAAGAAAATAAATTGAGATTAAATTTGGTAGTAATGATTTTACAGCATTAATAAGAAGAGAAAACGTGAAATGAAGCATGCCAGGGCTGCGCTACAAATACGAGGATCGTCTAGGAAACTTGTGCTTGTAATCACACCCACAAAGAAGCTGGATCACAATTTCGACAGAAGATGACATCGCCCTGTGGATGCGCGCGTAGAAAAAAGATCCACAAAAATGACAGGAGGACGGACCAAAAGTTTACAATTGCGAATACTGTGCAGGTATGGTAGTACATAGAAGTTTGTACTTCGTACTCTAAAAGTTCGAGTGCTGCGATTGATTAGTGAATCTGTACGTACCGTACCCTACGAGTACAGACGTAAGATATATAGAGGACCAGTACGAAGTACGGGTACGCATCGTAACAACAGTAGAAGTACTCGTACTACAGTAAGAAGATAGTACAGTAAGGTACGAACGTACGGAGTGGTAGTTCTCATCTCAAAAATCTTTTAGTGAGACCTTACCGGTACGTACCGTACCAGTACTTGTAAGTAAAGTACGTACCTCCATCTGGGGTACAGTACCACACGCACGTAGTTTGGACCGTTTCGTACTGTACTGTAGCGTAGTTCAGGTGTTGAAGTTCTGTAGAATACTGTATTACCCTACGTTACGTACCAGTATAAGATAGAAGTACGTACGAGTTACGTATCAAGATAGGAAAGAAAATTGTCGTACGGTACGATGGACGGACAAAACATCAATTTCATTCTACTTTAACGTTTTTTGATTCCTTACTTTGGAGCGAGAATATAATATATACGTTTATTTATACTTATATACCAATCGTGAGCGACATGAGCGGCTCAAAATCTATTCACAGTTCCGAAATTCAGGGGTGATGCCAATAGTGGAGGGAAGGAATCAGATCTCTACACCAACATTTTGGTTTCCTATTTTTCCTTGCTCTCTCTCTCCCATATACGAGTAAAGGACATTATATGAGAAATCTTGAGAAAAGAGGTTTTCGTTACTTCAAGACCTATTCGTAACGAAATTTCAGGCTTAAAAATTTTGCTGCACCTTGCNGACATTATATGAGAAATCTTGAGAAAAGAGGTTTTCGTTACTTCAAGACCTATTCGTAACGAAATTTCAGGCTTAAAAATTTTGCTGCACCTTGCGTCCAAGGCAGTACAATTCAGTCCGATATGGACCTAACGATGGAACAAYCAAATGAACAATATCGCTCTGATTMCCATAGAGAAAAYACAACGATGATGGTCGCAGGACATTCGCCATCGCCTCCCAATGTCCCATCAATGGAGAAAAAAAACATTAGCGATGCGATAGTGGAACATCAGAGTAGAATTCTCGACAGGGAAGGCATCTACCTCACCGATCGCATGTTCGATCCTCCCTCCAAAATATGTGGTGGTTCTATGATTTTGAAAYTSAAGTCCATGGGAAATGGGAATAACAAGAAGAAGAARAAGAAAAACAAAGAACAATCACTGGRGGATAAAAGTGACCCTTCATCCGCGATGATGACAATGCTGAGGAGTAAGATGCAGAAAAAGAAGAGGAACGACAAGAAATTAAACGAAAACAAGAAAAGTGAGAAACAGCAGGTACTGGTGGTACCAGCGTCTACAACCATGTCGTCAATATCGGAACCTACCGCGTCGGTGTCTTTTCTTCCATCYGTACCACCGACGAATACTAAGGAAAATGCAGACGAGGAAATGCTATCTTTCCGAGATGTGCAACTCCTGTTAAAGGAAATCAAGACVGCCAATGGAACGAGAAAAGAAAAATCRACATCCGAGGAAAAGCCAAAAAAGGCAAATGAGAAAGATATACCTTCGTCTATTACTAGTTACAATCGCAGATTCCGTGACGGCGAAAAAGAGAAGCTAAGAATTAAAGACATCGAAAACTGGGAAGAAGAAAGCCTCGACAGTGTTTATATCGAYGACAGTGTAGGTGACAAGGAAAACGATACCACCATTGATAGATTGAAACTTGAGAGGAAATTTTATCGTAGTGAGGCAAAGACTCTCAGATCRGAACTCGGTARCATCAAGGAAGAGCTGAGTGAGCTTCGAAAGTTTCTTCAGCGACTTCCAAATAACAAGGACGAAAATCACGAGCCGTCTGAGGGGCATCAMGTTCAGCATGAATCTGATGCTGCCAGCTCAATGACACTGAAGAGTTTTGACACAATATACACGGAGCACGGTGATCTATTCTCAAATCTAGAGGATGCGAAAAATAAAGTTTTGCGTACGAAGCAGCAGCGTGAACGAAATTCAACCAAGTTAGARCGACCTGTTCCTTTATACGCCGCTAACCTAKCGCAAAGCCTTCCAAGAGATATATTATCAGTGAAACGTGACAMWAATAATAATTYGGATATTCGCTCCGGTAGCGATTACCAGGAGCAAAGAACGTCTCCTAAAGTCAGAAGAGAACTAAGATCCTCGGAAAGATTCTATGCTATGATTTCCAGCCCAGCGCCGAAAGTAATCGTCGAAAATCAACGGGTAGGTACCGGKCAACGTACTAGTAACAACAGCCAACGGAATATAACTATTTGCAAKTCAGAGCATAAGAATGATCCCRAAGAAAAAGGAGAMCAAGTTGCTGTCAAGAATGTTTCTCCGTACAGAACAAGGAGCTATAGATCACGAAGTATGAGTCCRATGAGGAGAAGAAACAAACTGAATCCGCCATCGCCAAGTGTTGGGAAGACTCGCGGCGACAATAGAAAAAGTGAACGTTCAGTTTCAAGACCTGGGCATTCTCATGAGGCCGCATTGAAGGATGAAATGAAAGATAASGAAAGGCTTGTGATGCRAAATGATGGCGTTGTGAATTCAAGAAGATCGATAAATCACGCACCAGAAGAAAAGAACTCAGGAATGGAGTTCAATTATGATGATGCCAAGAACTTTTACCGAAGTTACCAACAGTCTTCTGAWCCTGATGCAGCAAAGGAGTTGGGAAATATTTCGTCGAAAACCGAAAGTTCTCAATCTGATAGTCTGCCCAATGGAAGAAATGCTACTTCTTTCACTTTCAATGAACCGAAAAGTCCTGAATTAGACCTGAAAGCTGCCGACAGAAAATACAGAGAAATGCGTAGATCCATACAATCCATGCAACAAGTTGGAAGCAACAACGTCGGACATCATTTGCCTGAATGTGAATCGGAAGATTCCGACAGTTTCCTGGGATRTTGCACGACAGATGACAGTCAATCGGAAAATGATGATTCTTCCAGGCTTTCGTTTCAACACCAGCGTCCCATCAGCAGGAATTTTTCGTTGAAAAAAATGTGTGACGAAGAGGAAGAAAGCTCTGATTCTATTCTCCTCCGTCCTCCCCTTCCCCCATCCCGATAGAGGTGGCTTCTTGGCACACYGTCTATCTAGATGTTTCRCGAGAAAAATTGGAACGCGACGTATTAAATGTATTTSATGGATAATGTTTGAAGTGCAAATGCTGCTTTTTGCATGATGTGCGCACACTACTTTACTTCTAGATATTGTGATCTATTTWATGATGAAATAAACTGATTCTGTTCTTGATTGACCCGGTGGTTCCACCAACAAACACTTCAAATGCTGGTAGCTCATCAGAAACTGCTGGTCAATAGAATGAATAACGAAAAACTTTTTGTGGATAAGAAAACCAGTATGATTGAATCTATATTGTTTTCATTCTGAAATCCTATTTCTTCTTGATGAGCAGCACATGGTACTTCTGAGACAGTAAAGGGACACGACATAAATAATGACTTACATCCTATGGACTCTAGCAAAAATGGTATGAATCTTTTTTCCATCCTGCCAATAATTAAAGTATCAGTAATAACTACTACATTTCACAGAGGAAGCATGATGATCACAGAAGAATGATCTCATTAGTACTACAAGAGCAGATTCTAGTACTAGTACTAGTACTACTACTACTACTACTACTACTACTACTACTACTACTACTACTACTACTACTACTATTTGTCACTTCTACTAGTACCAGTAGTTATTCTTTCACAGGAATCCAATACTATAATTCACTGCATGATATCATATAAGTTGTATGTCCAAACTAGTGGTACTAGTAGTACTAGTACTGTAGTTCTAGGGCCTGGTACAAGAAAGAAGTTCTTCTCCAGCTGCTGCATGAAGATAATGCTGGTACCACTACTAGTACTACTAGGAACAGCTAGTGGCTCAACTGCTACTATTACTACTACCACCAACATCTCTTTTCAGTATTAGTACTGTTAGTACTGTAATCATAGTAGTAATAGTACTAGTGGTGCTGCGACATGTCAGTTGATTGTAGTAGTAATGCTAGTAGCTCATCTATAGTACTGTAATATGACACAATCATCTTCTGCTGGTTGCTATACAGCTTTACTAGGAGTCTTATCATTATCCCCCATCATTGTTCTTGTTGTTGATGACATAAGAAGTACTACTAGTACTGCCTAGCAGATCTACTACTGCATCCTCTCTTTGTCCTCATGCCTTGCTGTTGCAATATCAGCACACTTCTTCAACACCAACAACAAAGAGGTTAATTTGTGTTTCTTCTTGCATTATTTAAATTACAACTGGTGGTAGTAGAAGTAGCACTGAGAACAAAAATCATGCCAGTGAAATTCTCATCATATAGATGTGGCTTGGTAAATAGTATATGATACAGTCATTGATTTAGGGCCCTTATTTTGCATGTGATGACTAATTTGACTAAAAAAACTGAATCATACTGCTTGCATTGCTGCAGTTTAGAGCTGGGCATGTGCTGAATTTTTATTCCCACCAGTCTTGCGACCAAATAGTTTTATGTGCACTTGCTATTGCTGTACTGCTAGTACAAGTCAATTTTCAATCAATGCACAGTATAAATGTACAATTGAGTTGTCTTTTTTTGCATAGCCATGGCTATACAATACTACTACTAGTAGTACTCGTACTGTATTTTGACTTATTCTTGTGAACTTGTTACAACAATTTATGAACAATTACCATGCTTCTTTTACTTTGTTTTTCAAGAGGAACAAGAAGTCAAAACTTCTGTGGTAGTAGTACTTTTACAATGGGTCATTCCTGTAAACATATATCAAGGTATGTAATCAGGTTTCTTTTTTGGTGGTACTAAARGCTCAGCAGGCTGGCTCAAATTACATATTTTCCCCCATTTTGGAAATTTGGAATCCTGTATAATTGCATAATAATTTGACAAGATTCTAGTGGCACTCACTAAACCCCCAGCTCTGTCTCCAAAATTATCAAAAACAAATCCTTGCTCCAAAACAACAAAAACAATCCTCCTCCAAAACAGTCTCAATCCTCACTATTTGGCTATTGGTTCCTCCCTCACAGCAAAATGTCCCATGAGTTGCTTTCATTTGCATGGGCAGCTTCCCTCAGCAGCAGSAGGAGGAGACTTGTCATCAACTGTCCCTTGAGGACAGGCATTGACAAGACAGATGCCAAGGATTGCACTGTTGGCTGTCAAGAAATCCCCAAGTTCCCCTACAGATAACAATCCCAGTTTTGTGGGAAGATATGCAAGAAAACTGGTATGACAAAAATAASACAGGGTGCTGCTTAGATTCCTCCTTTATTCCTCCTTTGTAACAGCATATTGCGTAGGTTGATCCCTGAAGATCTTGTTTACCTCATCCTTCATAATAACTGTAATCACTAATACTATTCATAATCCATTAATGAACTAAACCAAACCAAACCAAACCAAACCAAACCAAACCAAACTAACCAACAATCATCTTGACCATGGGAATGGACAATCAACAATTGAAAATCAACATCATTGGAATCAATCATCATTAGCACCATCTCCAGAAGGGGACATTGAATACGAAAAGTATCCTATCTGATTCCCTCAACTCTTCAAAGAATTAAAAGCCCATGGTTTCACTCATGAAGGTGTTGAGGATCTGATTAATGCCCACAGTGCTGCATTGATGATAATTATACAAGAAGAAGAAGAAGAAGTGAAGAATGACCTTCCTATTGCCCAGTTCTTCCAGTGTAGGCCTCTCCTCCATCGTCCTTGGGAATTGCCTCTGGATCATTCTCATGCCCCATTCAGACAACTTCCAGACAACAGTCACTTCTCTGTTAATTACTACAGCCCAGGCATTCTCTCTTGCATTCTCCCTCATGGTGGTATTCTTGCTAGCTGATGTGACAGGGCCATTTTGTTGGCTCCTGATGAGATAATCAGCTCCTTTGTTGACCTTAGATGCAGAGTTAACAACAAGCCCCCCCAATTCTGTTGTATATGGCTTCCATCTTGCCATCATATATGCCATACTCTGCCATTGTACTGTCATGCCAAGTCCCAGGGCAGTTAGTATATGTGGCCATCTGGATTCTTCCATTTGGGGCAAACACAAGGACATTATTAATGTAAGTAGTATCAGCAAMCCAGGAGTTGTTAAAGTACATGATGCTTTGAATGGCCAAATTGGTAGATTGTTGAAGCTTAACTTTGAGGCCATCACAAGCCCCAGCCCAGACCCTCTTTCTTCCAAGTGCCTCATACAATTSCTGCCACATAGGCATCCACTTCTTCATCACAGCAGGGAGGCCTAATAATAGCATTTGGATGATTTTACAGTACACGAAGAAGGACTCCCTGGGAATACTTCAACCATTTATAGAGGGGTGTTGAAGTGACACCAAAGACCATATGTGAGGTCCTTGCTGCTGATCCACAAGTTCTGAACCAAGACAAGACTAATGCCAGTTCRATTGTTGCAGTGATCTCCCTCATATTGCCCTTTGGTTTGCCTCCTGTCTTAGTAGTGAAGAGACATGGTCTTACCTGCAGAGTATTCTTGTCTACTGTATAGTAGCTATCTATCAAAAACTGGCTCAAAGAGTGAAAGAAGATGYCTAAAGAGAGGATGATCTACACCACATCAGTTTAGAAGAGCCTGGTCATCTCCAGACCCAAAAAATGGATGAATGGGGACTCATTCCTCCCCATGAGTGCAATTCAAGGCATCCTTCTATCCCTCCATTGCCTGTCCTCAAGGGAGAGCAGATGATGCATCTCCTTCTCCTCATCCTATTCAAGGGAAGCTGCTGTCCATGCAATTAAAGCCATCTCAGAGGTCATGATTTTTGAAGTGTTGTACTGGTTTCATGGTGATTTTTACTGTGAAGGATGGTGGTCTGATAGGCAAATAGAAAGGATAGAGACTGTTTTTGACGTTTTGGAGGAGAATTCATTTTTGGAGCTAGAGCTGGTTTTGTGAAAATCTGAATTGACTCTTATTGGTGCCATGAACTGGAATCTTGTAAAAATTGTGTGCAATTATAAGGGATTCCAAATTCCAAAAAAGGGCGGAAAATATGTAATTTCAGAGAGCCACCTGGGTCTAAAGTACCACTGAAAACATTCCTACATACATCTGGGAATGAATTTACTGGAAGAAAATACGGTATTTTGATACAAAAATATTACTTAACAGAATACCGGTACGAGTACAGGTATGAGTGCGATATAAGACTATTGATTTCTAACAGGTTATGAGTACATAAAACGCACCAGTTTTTTGCTAACTTTGCTTGCTTGTTAACTTGAGCAAAACAACCAAACATAATTAGAGAATCCATCAGCCAGAAACGGTTTTCCCTCCTCTTTCAATACATGTCCATATTGTATATATTTCCTGTCAGAGAACCTATTCCAGCTTGTTGATTTCTCAGCGCACAAAAAATGAAAAATATTCTCATTTAATCAACCTCAACAAGGCAAGCTGTCACCCCTTTAGTTCTTCATCAATACCCAACCAATTGGGCTCACAAGACAAGTGTTCTAATCCTTACATTAAGAGGAAGAGGATCTGGAAGTATTGCATCGATTGACCAATGAGTGGTTTAGAAGCAACAGGAGATGTAAGCAACATAAAAAAGCTTTGAAAATAGGAAGAAAACAAGCTGCGGTGTAACAAGAAAAACACCATCTTCCCCTCCATAACTTTGACAACCAGTGTGTTGAACGTCCTTATCACATCAAATTAGAGTTGATCCGGAAGTTGTGGATCAATCAACTGAGTATTTTGGAAAAAAAACAGTTTTTTGTTGTATTTTCCACCATGAAGAAGAAGAGCAACAACAACACAAGCAAGCAAGCGCCCCCCAGAGTAAGTGCTGTACTCCCATCAGCACTATCGATCTGGTCGTTTACCAAGGGATGCGTGAAACATGTTCTGAATCAGGAGCAGGAGCAGTGGTGTTTGGGTTTAGTGATTTGCAACAAAGAACAGGAGGAAGGAGGAAAAGCAACAAAAACAATGAAGACGTCAGCGCCAGCAGCAGTAATGGGCACCACAGTTGCAATTGGATCAATAAGAACAGGACGCACGGTTGCGGCTTGTGAAAGAACAACCCTTGCTACTGAGAACTTGTTTGGTTCAAGGTCCAGAGGTCTCCAGTGTTCTGTGAGGAGATCCATGTTATTTGCTCAGTTCAGTGAAGACAAGGCAAACAACAAAGCCTTGCAAAGAAGAGTACAGACGAGGTGCATGGAAAGGATGGTGAAGGGCCCCCCTAATTATCTTTAGTGTTCCATATCCTCCAAGAAAGAACCACCAGAATTATCAGCTTTGACATCCTCCAAGGAAGTGGCCATAATCAATTTGGAARAGCTTGCAAAACTATCAGGCCTAAAGGTGGAAGATTTGGAAGCAAAAATAGCAGTTCTCACCAATTCAACAGTAACAGCAGTGAAGAGCAAGGAGGATGAAGGCAGTCTGAAGAAGGGAGCCCTTGCACCAGTTCTTCTAAAAGAGAGTCCTGATACTCCTAAGCAAGCTCATATCAAAAYGGTGAACAAGTTTTTACAGAAGAGGGCGCATGATGATGCCTACAATAAAATTGCAAAGAAGGTGAGGTATGAGCAAGAAAATTTGCCGCCCAACTGCCAGTCCTCTGTTGTCAGTATTGTATCTCAGGTTAATTTACTCTACAATACTTTGMTCAAGGCCAACACAGTGTGAAGACACTTGAAGGACAACCTCRGGCCCCCGGGGAAGGGACATAAAAGTTTGCTTCCACAGGCAATTTACAACACACTAGGAGATGCAATATCCTCTTTTATTGCTCTGGCTTGCAAGGAAAAGGAAAAGATCCCTCAGATTGTGGGTTTCATTACGATGTTGAAGAATTGTTTGGTTCCTGGTCCATGCTTGTTGAACAATTATTACATAAACCTTTATTGACGACTGCTGCCAACCTTCCCTGGACACTTGAAGGTTACAAAAATTGGTAACAAAATTGAGGAATGTCTTAAGTGGACTACATATAATAATATTAACATGTGCTTTAGTATACTGGAACAAGAACTTGTTGCAAAAGGCTTTGCCAGGCTAAAGCAAGATGATGAAATCCAGGAAGGTGAAATTGTTTTTTTTGCAGGACAACTCAACAGGATCATTAACCTGGACGAGTATGGCCTGACACTTGATGGGAATGGAAGCCAGTCAGGAGGACAGCCTTCTAGTATGGCTTACAGGTCAACTGATGAAGCCATTGGATGCGCTGCTGATAGGACAACCAAGAGCACTTCACAAATCACTTTGGTTGCCGGTAGCAATGCGGCTGGATTTCCTTTGCCACCACATTTCTAGCAGTTGAAATCTCATGCCACCAAAGAGGAGAAAAAGTGAATCCAAGAATTATTTGTGAATGGTGTTCCTAACACCAAAGGCATATACGGTGGTGATTGTATCACCACCAACAGAGCTACTGTGAATTGCAACATGAACGCAGGAATGGATGGTGACAAATTTTACGAATTTGAAAAATATGTATTGGATGTGATTCTTAAACTTTTTCCAGATGCTGAAGATTTGCCTGGCAAACAAGTTATGTTGATTGTCAACAGTGGGCCTGGAAGAAACAACAAAGCATTATTGGCGAGCCTTACAGCACGTGGTTTTCTCCTTCATCCTGGCGTCCCCAATACCACACATGTTATGCAGCCAATGGATCATAATTATGGTTATTTCAAAACCCTTAACCAAAATAATCTGGAAAAACTTGCCCACCACCAGCACATGAAAAACGACAATCTTTGGCAGTCTGATTATCCATTGTTAGTTTTTGGTAAGCACGATAGCTGGAATGAGAATGTGGATTTGTATTTTGTATTTGACAAAGCTTTTTCCATAGACAGATGCAAAGATGTGTGGAGGACTGCAAGGACCATTGGAATTTCACCATTCATATGAAAATGCCTAGAGGATGAAAAAGTTCAACATGAGCTGATTGTTTTGCCAGATGGATCGATTGATTTGACCACAGATCTGAAGACAGCTGCACTGATTTCACACGAGAAGAGAAATACCRCAGCAATTAAAGTTTTGAATGATGGTGGTTTCAACAGTGAAGTTTTTTGTAAGTATGCACCACGAAAGAGCAAGAAGCAGTTGGTCAAACAAGTGATGGAACCAAATACCAGGGCAYGGCAAGATGCCATTGCAGGCTTTAAATATTCAAGCCAAATCACAACTGGCAGAGATACACTGAGCACGAAGGATTATTTTATCACAAAGGAAAGAAGAAGGAGGGAATTGGATGAGATCAATCACTTTGAGGCATTAAAGCAAGAAGGCTGCAAGAAAARCAGCAGAATCTTTGAACAGAAAAGCTCTTGGTTTGATTGAGGATTTTGCTTCAAAGGGAAAAGATGTTAAGAAGGAGGAAGATGCAAAGTCCATCCCAGTTTTTACTCTTAAGGTTTTGTGCCAATGGAAGCAGAAAAAAAATCCCTACCGAGAAAGACAAGAAGCTATTGGATATGTGGATGACAGTGAAAAATGTTCCCACACCCCCATCAGCTTCTTGGACTGATTCTGATGAGACTTTGCTAAACAAACTGAAAGAGGATGAAATAAATAGAGAGACTGCATATGGAAGGGAGAGAGAGATTGAAGAATCAAGCACCGAATTTCATTGCAAGCTCCTTGACTGAAGAAGAAAGAATTGCCTCTAATATGCCAGTTGATGTGCTTGAATCTGTGAAGGAAATGRTTGTTGGTGAAGTTGCTGAAGTGTAATAGTAGCTTCCAGTAGTAAGTGATTTATGTTAGAAATACTATCTTAGAAATACTATCTTGGAATCAATTGTTTCCATGTCGACCTCRATGTCAAGAAATCTGCTGTTCTTGGAATTGATTCCGATTTCATTTTTTTTTCATGTCAATAACAGTATCCGGAAATCAATTTTGTTTCACTGATCCAAATTCTCAAATGCCAATCTGAACTCAAAACAATTCTCAAAAAAGTTTCCATCATTGACAAGAACCTACTAAGAGAAATCTGGTGTTGTTCTTGGAACCAATTTTGATTTCGATTACATTATTCCATGTTAATAACTGGCATCCAGAAATCAATTTTTTTTCACCAATCTGAATTCTCAAAAAGTGAGCAAAAAATAGCTTGGAAGTAGAAAATAATTCAATACAAAATAGTTTCTTTGGTTCCAGGTGGAACTAAGTGACAGCTTGAGGTGCAGGGTGTAAATTAAGACTATCATTCCGCGCGTAGAGCTGTGTATATTTTGTACTGCAAAAAAGCTGTCACGTCTTACAACGCACCAAAACCCGTACCGTACTCCTACCGATACTACGTTGTTTTTATTTGGATACGAGAGAAGTTCAACACCTCGGTTTTATATCRCGTTGTTCTTTATGTAGACCTCTGTAGAAATGATACGACTATCTGTCTCSCGATACGACAACAGAACCTCGATTTCGGATATCAAGGAGGGATTATGGTATGAGTACGTACGTATGCTACCCGTCTACGCCTTCCTTCTTTCAACGGACATGAACGACTTGGTAGTACGGTACCGTATGGTACATAATACGGTACTAGTACTASGAAGTCTCTACAACAATAATAGGAGTAATTACAACTTACAGTACTCGTACGTACGCCGGACGATAATAATTGTTCGAGTTCATCGTATCGGAGGTAAGCACCTACAGGTATATATGTACCGGTACATCGGGCGCGACAGCCGCGACTTTTCAACGCACTAGMGCATTCGTCGGTGAAAGGTATAACCCTGAGGGACGAAAATTGCCACAAGAAATGTCTCAAAAAAGACATATCTGTGGATAGAATGACCCATTTCCAGGCRAAGACCCGAAAAAAAATAGAACGAAGAGGAATATGGCAGTAAGCGAAGCCGGTAAGATAAAAAATAATACAGTCGTACCCTACTGTAATGCAGTGAAAACGCACGCTACAAGTAGGCCTTCTCTCCCGAACCCGTACTAACCGGTGTCATCATTCTCCACCTTATGCTCATACTCGATTRTTACAGTTTAATCCCAGGAGGATCGTCAAGGACAGTTAACAGAAAGAAAGCAACCGAATAGCGACAACAATGGGTGATAAGAAAGACAAGAAGAAGAAGTCCAAGAAGGACGACGATAAGGACAAGAAGAAGAAGAAGTCGAAGAGCGACGACGCCAGCGCTGCCAGCGGCGGTACTGAGGACAAAAAAGCCAAAAAGGGCAAGAAGGAAAAGGAGGACAAAAAGGGTAAGAAGGATAAGAAGGGAAAGAAAGAAGAAGCCATCCCAGAGGAATCAGCTCMTGATGAGAGCGTAGCATCTGAGAAGGTTGAAGAGCCACCACCGGCTGAGGAAGAGCCACCTCCACCGCCCAAAAAGAAGGAGAAGAAGGAGAAAAAGAAGAAAAAAGAACGACAACGTTCGGTTGAAGAGGTGGAAGCGGCGCAAGCTATTGAAATCCAGCTTTTCCAACCTGACGAACCCGACCTTCCGACCAAAGGTGCCAAAAAATACGGTGACGTCAAAACCGACGCTCAGAAAAAGCAATGCAAGAAGACCTACAAGTTTCTCAACTTTGATCCGTGGAACGAAGCTACTCGATACGATGACGATGATCTTTGCGATTACGTAATCGAATATCCCGACGGATGCAAGGTGAAATACGAATTCGAGGGCTTCAGTGGTTGCATCTATCCTTTCTTGATGTGTTTCGCCCTGAAAGCCTCCACCGATACCGTCGAAGTKGTCTACGATGCCTACCCGAAAGCTCTCAAGGAAACCGACTTTTGGATTGGAAATGCSTATCACTACGCCGCTTTGTATGACGCGCCGATCCCAATTGTAAATTTCCTCCTGACTAAGTTTCCCGAGGGTATCAAGACAACCAATTACTACGGCCGCACAGCCCTTCACATGGGGGCGCTCTATGGTTGTGACGAGAACCTTATCGAACTATTGGCCGGAAAATATAGCAAGGCGTGCCAGATCGTAGACAAGGACGGATACACCCCTCTGCAYCATGCCTGTGAACGAGGTGCCGGATCGACTGTTGTCAAGGCCCTATTCGGTAAACACCCGGCCATTGTCTTCCACAAGGCGGTGAATGACATGATGCCGTTGCACCTGGCATGCAACTCAACCTCAAACGTGCGCGTGATCCGTGCGCTCTTGCTGGCCGCAGGGGATAATTCCATCTGCAGAGCCGTTGATGTCATGGGCAACACACCCTTGCACTTGGCACTCACCAGTGTCGCTCCCTACGAATCGATCGAATTACTTGTTGCTTCGTGCCCCGAGACGGTCTGGACAAAGACCACGAATGGAGAACTCCCTCTTGAAATTGCTCAGCGCAAGCGTGCCCCACAGGATGTCTTGCAACTACTAGAGAAAATGATGGAGCGACTTTTGGTGGAAAGAGATTAATGGATWAGTTATTTAGATAACGCGGAAGGAGATAAAAATTTGAGTAGTTTAATGGAATGCAACAATGATGCGCTGGATGAAGAATGAGAGACAGTTAGGACGGAAGGAGAGAAGACTTCGCTTCAACCTTGGAGTGCGACGCGAGCGATCGTCGAGCGGTACCTTTCATTTTCCTCAAGTCTAGTAMGGCGACAGGTTTCACCAGCATAAAATTATGATCATTTGAAATCTTTATAAACTAGATTCTTTTAAGATATGGATAAAGAAGGTGCATTCAAGAGTGCAAGTACTGTAGCAGCAACATGCTCCTAATTCTTCAATTGACGAGTCATCATGTGATTGTTCTTCATTGTAGTGCATGTTCTACTTCTACTAGTAGTAGCAGTAAATTGGAACTGACCATTCAACGTTCGAATGTGCATTCTAGTTGTGCAATACAGTATGGTAGCATGATTTTTGCTTCTGGCTTTCCCTTTCATGAGGCTGTTGCTGTTGCCAGAAGGAATTCGTTACAAAGAGGATAGTGCTTTGCAGTACTACGGGTAGTACAAGTAATGAAGTCCAATATTCTGTGCCGCATCCTACCGTACCTCCGACCATTCTTCACACCTACTGTACGGGACGGGACGTACCGGCTGGTACGGTATCAATTGAATTTCGGTCCGAATCTTTTTTTTTTTTYCYTYCMAAAAAAAAACTACTACATCCAGACCAAAATAGGAGGTTGACAACAAGCACCCGARCATTGCAAAGACGAAGTTTTCACAGCAACGACGACCAGGAAGCAAGRCAAAAAGCCATGAAGGAACCGTGGTCCAAAAAGCACAAAAAGGATTTCAAGGGAAGRCAATTCAGCCTTTCGAATTCGTTTGCACAGCCCCTTTCCCAGCCCGAGCTCGTCGCTCTCACCAAGGCCCGCAACGACCAGGCCCTCCTGGACGACTACGAACACCACGATTTGGTGTATACACCGAACGGTGGCAGCGACGACCTCAAGCAAGCCATTAGCGAGTTGTACGGACCGAAAATTTCGAAAGAAAACATTCTCGTCTTCCCCGGTGGACAGGTCGCTATCCAGGTGGCTGCGCAGGCGTTTGCCCGGGATTGCCATTCGATCGTCTTTGTTCCGGGATACCAATCGACCGTGGAATCCCCGGAATGGGCTCTCGGCAGCAAGGGCGTCACACAGCTACAGCGCCGAGCGAGCAACCGATGGCAGATCGAAATCGAACAAGTGAAAGCATCTATCCAAGAAACGACGAAATACATGGTGATCAACGAGCCCTACAATCCCGGAGGAATCGTAATGAGCCACGAGAGCCAAAACGAGCTGGTCGAACTCTGCCGGGAGCATGGGATCACCATCCTCTCGGACGAGGTCTATCGGTTGCTGGAGCACGATCCGAAGGATCGAATCCCGGCCATGGCTGATGCCTACGAACGAGGGTTGTCGTGTGTATCCATGTCCAAGCCGTGGGGTGCCTGTGGCATTTCAGTTGGTTGGCTGGCCTGCCAAGACAGAGAAATGATTTCYAAGCTCTGGGATTGCCAGTATTTTGGAACGGCCTGCATCGGCCGAGCCTGCGAGATCCAAGCCATAATGGTTGTGCGGGCCTCCGAGACTATACTAAAGGACCGGGTTTCCATYATCCGGGCCAACAAAGCCCTGCTCACGGAGGTCATCGAGGAGAAGTATCCCGACTTTTTCGAGTGGGAACSACCGAACGCCGGTGCAATTGCCTTCGTGAAGTTCAAGGGACCCCTAACATCCCTGGAACTAGGGGATTTGTTGGGTGCCAGGGGGATATCGATCAAACCCGCCTACTGTTTCGTTTCCAGCGATAATGGTGGCAAGGGGATACCGCCSGAGGTGGACTACTTTCGGGTGGGATTCGGAGAGCGAAAGATGCCGGAGGCTCTGGACGCATTCTGTTCAGTCGTGGAGGAATTCAAAGATGCCTGGAGGCAAGAAATGGAAGGAATGAAGAAATAAACCGATGTCTACTTTGGACCACCAGAAAAATTCAAACGTCATCGACTTTCAACGCGATGCTGCAACATAATACTAGTACTAGYAAATGTTTTGATTGATTCAGGCATGTTCGCAGTTTTCTTGTCCGCAACTACACGTAGTGAGCTTMCAAACCAATACTGGATGAGTTCATTACAGGAATAATGCACCCCCGCATCGTATGAGAGTACACACACTCAACTGACATCGCATGCGATACGTTATTTCGTGGTTAGCAAAAGGACAAGTACTATTCCTCGTTTTACTACTACTACTAGTGGGATCGWAGTTACTTGTACCATCACGCGGTCAGAATAAAGGGGAATGATTTGGTGCATGCTGCTGGGGAGGAAGTGGTGATTATTGAATGCCGATCCTCCTAATAGTATCAACCGATGGACTCCTTCTAACTTTTTCTTGCTTACCAGGAGAGTAGTAAGAAAAGCTTGCTGTGTCGAAGAAGTACTCGAACTAAAAGGTGGTAAGTGAACGCTTATACAAGCACCTACTAGTACTACTAGTACTACTACTAGTACTACTACTACTACTACTACTACTACTACTACTACTACTACTACTACTAGTATTCAATCAATGAATCATAATTAATCGAAACTTTTGTGATTATTTGAAAAATACCGAAGAAGTACTTCTACTGAATACTGCTATTTGTTCGGAAGCAGAGGTACGGTACTTAAAAGTGCACTGTAAATACCCAGCGTAAATACGCATCGTAGATTATGCCGGTGTCATGAGTTGGCTACGGTGCACTACACTTCACTTCACTATCTTTAGTGCACGTAGCCAGTAACTTTGAAGAATTCTTACAGCCCTGGACTTACCDAAGAAACAAAAAGAAACTTTTTTTAGTGTGGATTTTTACAAACCCTGGTATACCATTTTTTGCAAATAAATTAGTACCTTGACCAAAAACCATAAGAAGAGCAAACAAATGTATACCTCAAAAACAATCTAGTATTTGGATTTGTCACTAGCATAAGGTAAGAAACAGAGGATATGACTATTGCCCTTGATAAGCCTACTAAGGTAAGAAACAGAGGATATGACTATTGCCCTCAATAAGCTTACTAGTAGTTCTGACCAACCTATTGTTGTCAAAACCCAATTCTTCTCAACTTTGTTGTTGCTTGCATGAATCTAGTTGTAGTACTAGTAGTAGTAGTACCACTTGGGAAATGAATCATCACCAGGTGGTCCATGAACTAATTTTCCTCATTACAATTTTATATGACAGGAACACCACTAGTTCCCATCAATATTCAAAGAACTACTGTGTAGAGAGCAGATGAAATCCTATCCTCTGTAGCAACACAGCAACAACACAGAATAAACCAACAACAGTTCATTTTTATCTGTCCTGGCAATGTTTCAGCATACACTCAAGTTYCTAATTGCTCTTGTTGCCATTATTTTTGACCTTGCCAAAATCATCATCTGTAATGGTGCTGAAAGCAGGGAATCCAAATGTTTTCTGAGCAAATTCTGAGAAACAACCATTCTTCTTCCTGGAGTAGATATTATCAATGTTGTTATCAACCGAGTACTGGTACACTTCAGTGTCTTTAGTGGATTCAGGAATGTAGTAGGTTGCTAGAATATTGGCAACACTTTCATCAGTGAAAACCATGTGAGTTTACCAAAGTTCATGATGCGATCTTTTGTAAGACTATGAGATTTATCCCAAGAAGGAACAAATGATTTTTCTGGTGGAACCTTGTTGCTGCAGGATTTAGCCAACAGAGAGTAGCAGTCATCGCGAAAGTTCTTTTCTGTCTCAATACTGATAACACCTCCACCTTCATTGAGTTTTTCATCTGGCCAACTAAAGATAGCACATCTTGAATACATAGTTCCATTTTTTGCTGGATAACCCATCTCARGTCTGTTGTAATCCTCGTTTGAAGTCYGGAGGAAAAGATAAGTTTGACTAGATACATCCCACATGTCTGGTGCAAATGGTTTGAAAGTTTTGGACATGCTGTTACGAAGAAGAGGAGCCATAAATCCCCCATGGTTTGATGCTTCTTTCTCAATGAACAATACCATCATTTCACCARAGCCAATAGCTTCAATAAATAATCTGCTTCTCAAACTGATTACCAAACTGTCTAGAAATATTATCACATGACTTTTTGAGTTTCTTCTTTAATGGAGTGACAACACAAGGATTAGTAGAAGACTTAGTATGGTCAACCACAGTAGAATGAGTTGTGATTGAAGACTTTTGGACAGGTCTCTTTAAGGTGACAGCCATTATGTTAGTAGTAAGGATTGTATTCAATTATTAATTGAATGCTTTTCAAATCATGAGATCATCAACTGCTCATCTCCTTTTTCATTTTGCTTGTTCCCGTAAATGCTAGTGCTTTGTGGCTAGTGTTGTATAAATATGTGTTGTCTAGTCTTGGGAGCTTTTTTCTTTTCTGAACCTTTCACAAGATTGAAAATTTTGCAAGACTGGTTGACAAGATTGAAAATTTCACAAGACTGGTTGACAAGATTGAAAATTTCACAAGATTGGTTGACAAGATTGAAAATTTCACAAGACCAGTTGACAAGATTGAAAATTTTGCAAAACTGGATTTTAATCTTGGATTTTACCAAGAAAATGCTTTTAGCCAGATTGTTGCTGCTTTTGTTTTAAAACTTCATGAAAAATCTCTACATTCACCTGAACAATMAAGAAAAAGAGATTCCACAGGAAGATTAATTGGTAATTGCTGCAACAGATACATTCAAGATCTCAAGGCAACAATGAACAACAAAGATCAGTTCATCTGTTTTCTATCAGGAGCTGGTGGTACTGGAAAATCAAAAGTAATTCATTCTGTTTGACATTATTGTAAGATGCTTTGCAAAGAATTGGGAGTGAACTTTTCCAACAGAACTCTGGCTATCACAGGCATGACTGGAACAGCAGCAGTTAATATCAATGGGGAAACAACACATAAAGCATACCGTCTCAATTGTGACAGATCCAATGTTACTATACAGGATGATGCGTGGGAAAATGAGACTTGCCTACTCATTGTTGACGAAATATCATTTGCTAGCATCAAACAGTTGGAAACATTGAATGTGTATCTCAACTTGTTATGTGACAGGCCATCATATCATTTGTATGGGAATCTACCAATTGTCTTTGCACCAGGTGACTTCAATCAACTCAAACCTGTGGGAGGAGACTCTCTACTGTCAAAAAAAGATTTCCATCTTTGGAGAGAAAAAACCACCACATTTCTTGAACTTAAAACAAATCACAGGTTTACAGACAATCCAATCTGGGGAGAGCTTCTTGATGATTTAAGAACAAATGGCTTAAAAGAGGAGCACGTTCAAATCATCAATTCAAGAATTGTAAAACCATGGGACACACTCCCTGAAGGTATTGTTGCTTATGCAACATGCAGCAATGCAGACAAATGTGCAATAAATGATGGCATATTTTCTGAGTTTCTCAAAACAACTCATTCAAAAAATATAAATGAGAGATTACCAGATCRCTCCATTGTTGTAATCAAGTCATCAAACCTAAAACTGCAGATAGACAGAAAAAGAAAATACAGAGACATGCCAGAATTTCAGAAATACTGCTTGCTGACTGCCACATCAGATGCTGACATTGTTGCAGGTACAAACAAATCTTCCAAAAGGATAGATCAAATGCTTGAATTGTATGTTGGTAGACCTGTCATGATCAATGACAACATAGATGTTGAAAARTCAAAAGCAAATGGAGCCATGTGTACATTCAAGTCAGTCAAACTGAAAAATGGGTACCTCGATATTGATGGATTTTATGTTCGATGTGTAGATGCTGAGAAAGTTGAATGGATGGAGGTAATCMTTGAAGAAGGAGACTCAAAAAAGTTATCACTTTAACTCCTCAAGAATATGAATCAAGAATTACCCATCAAACTCAAACAAGTCACAAAGGAATTCGATTAACTCAATTTCCAATCAATATTGCTACTAATGCAAGAACTGTTCACAAATTACAGGGGAGATCTTTGGAAAATGTGTTGGTTTCAACTTGGTCTTACACAAGCAATTKGATTTATGTTGTGCTTTCAAGAGTTACTAGAACTTCCAACGGTCTATTTGTAAGAACACCTCTTCTACTTACTAGTACTACGAAAAACAACAACAACAATACCCAGCATACACAACAAATAAATGATTTCCATTCCTATTTCAGAAACAGCAAACAGCCACAGTGCTTTCATTGAAAACCTTCTACTACATTCTTTTCAAAACATAACTCCAACCTTACTAGCAATAACTTCATTTTTGCACTGTAGTAAGCTTTTTGCGTAGCGAGCCAATCATGAGTCAGGACTCATAACCCCTGAGACAACGTACGATACGTACGTAGTGGTGTTATGAATTCCCATGATTTCGCTGACAACCACACAAAGGATGGCCATYAAGTCTTTTCGATACGATTGCTGAAATCGAGCATGGGATATGGATCGAACGCGACTGATTCCTCATGTCTTCCATCCATCCCATCTAATCCAGGGCTGTCGAACAAAGTAAATGGCGGCTACCAAAGTGCTTGCGTCGACCACATGGCTTACTAAAGCTGTTTTTGTCCTATGCATTAGTGGTCTCGGGCACCATGCATATTCCTTTATACTAGTTCCCCGGGGCTCCTCCAAATTGCATCATGGTGCATATCTGYGGGGACCGGGAATAAGTCTGTCTACCGCCTTGCGTTCCTCGCCAGATGAAATCAATGAGAATAGCAGCAACGGTGATTTTGCTTTCTTCGACGAGGCTACGATTTACGTTCGGGCCGGATCTGGAGGCCAGGGCTCATCGACCTACAAGAAGGCGAAAAAGGGAGCCAACGGCATTCCGGACGGCGGCAGCGGCGGCCTTGGCGGCAACGTGGTTCTAAAGCTTGATCCGAGCCTCAACACCCTAGCCGGGCTTAGCAAGCGCACACTGAGGCCAAATGCCTTCGGTGGCGGTGGTGCCGCGGCATCCAGCAAGCGAATGGGAGACAAGAAGCAAGGCGTTGGCACGAACGTCCAAGCAAACAATTTTGTGGCCCGGGAGCGCCTTTACAGTTTTCGAGCCGAAGACGGCAAGGCTGGGGGTAGGATGTACGACAACGGAAAGGGCGGGGAGGACTGCGAAGTTTTGGTTCCCCCGGGAACAGTGGTTCAATTGGAGGTTGAAACAGAACCAGAAGAACCGCAAGAGGACGGAGAAGCTGCAACCACAACGATGACCGTTGACAATGACAAGCAATACGAGTTGGTGGAAGTTGGAACCGTGTCGTACGAAAAGCCGACACTYGTTGTWGCGAAAGGAGGGARAGGAGGCGAAGGCACCGCAACACTCAAGGGTAAAAAGAAAGGAGCTACTCGCCGCGGTCCAGAGGGAGGAGAACGGTGTCGTCTTCGACTAACGCTAMAGATTGTGGCCGATATTGCCCTCGTTGGTGTTCCAAATGCTGGAAAAGTAAGTATGTTTGCTTGGTTTTGAAGTCGTTGAATGTGTTTGTCTCAATTGACAATATCTTGTGGAGAGACCGTGAAGATTGAACGCAAGACTTCGTCATGCTTGGTTTGATCCATATTTCGGGTCACACAATTCTCTTCTGACCGATCAACTCCAATGTACTTGTCTCCATCCAAAAGTCTACATTCCTCGCTGCAGTGACCCGCGCGAAACCCCGCATTGCTGACTACCCGTTTACGACGGTTGTACCGAATCTAGGTACTTGGATTCCACCGGAAGACAAAAACGAMAGCAACCACTACAGCAACTTCAACAAAGACGGCACAAAAAAGAATGAACGGGCAAACCGGGCGGCGGGTTCGAGTGGTTTGGTGCTTTGTGACGTCCCAGGTCTGATCGCYGGAGCGAGTGAGGGGGTAGGACTCGGTCACGCCTTTTTGCGACACATCGAGAGGTGCCGGGTAATCCTTCATCTGGTGGATGCCACGAGCGACGATCCAGTAGGCGATCTAGCTATGGTCAACGACGAGTTAAAGCGATACGGAAGCGGAAGCCTTGCCAGGAAGCCACAGGTGGTCATCGTCAACAAGATTGATGCGGCATTTACCGGAGAGGAGGAGGAGGAAGAGCTCATGAACGACATGAGGGCAGAGCTTGCAAGTCGGATGAAACTTGAAATGGGCCATACGCGGCTCATGTGGGTGTCAGCAAAAGAAAGGGACGGTGTAGACAATCTGATGACTAGAATGGCTTCCTATGTTGGTAAGATGAAAGAAGACGAGGCAGACGAGCAACAAAAAATCAAAGCGACCGGTGCTACAACTGTAGAATGACACGTAGATATGGAATATTGAATTGCCACTCCTCTGGTTTATCCAACRTAAAGATTGCCACAATTGCGGGTGTAATTAATTGGTCATATTCAATATCACAATCTGATTGGAAATGAGTTGTCGAGATCACGCTTGTGTCTCCAGAGAAGAATGGAAGGAAACGTTTTCTCTTCCTAGATTCGGCTGAGACGGGAACATCTCGCATAATCCAAAACTAATCCTCTCTCGCCCCATTTTCTCCACTGAACTGCACTTCTTCGAGCTGTCTTCCAACAGAAAGGTAGGTCTTCCTTTTGTCACGTCTCCTTTCTCCTTCTTCCCGGTTTCGTGTTGGATACCTTTAGCATCACCATTGCTTGTGTGTCCGTTAATATCGGGATACATTGCATTTTGAGATGGGAACGCTGTCAAAGCGTTACTATTTCTTGCGCTCTATTTTTGGACGATCGAAATTGAGACATTCTGTGTTGAATGTGACCACTTGATTTTGCTATCAGCGGAGCGATACATTTATAATTGTTGCTAGTCCTACTTGTACTAACTGTTTCTATTTTCGATTTTTGAATACGATGATGGCATGTTGATTCAATATTGGTTCGGAACGCTTAGTGACAAYAGCGAGCGAAAGCATTGCCGTCACACTTCAATGTACGAGAGACTATGCATCTGCCAAGCTTCAATACCTCGGCATACAATAAATCCCTGCTGTTGACTTCTAGCACTATTGAATATTTTGTTGATGAAATTAGGTCTTATTCATAATGCAGTTATGTTTCACAAAAATTAAATTAGTCGAAAAATGGTATTCAAGATAGTTCTCATAGGTACAATGGATTTCATCAGAAATTAGGATGCATAGGAATGCATTCATGTTTCCAGGACGGGTGGTGTTGTTTGGCAATGCACAGATCATTGTATTCGTAACCATTGCAAATGACAGGGTCGTTTCCGTMTTTRCATTCTTTCGGTGCGCATTCGTGTTCAAAGAACCCATTCTTTTGTGTGGCAAAACACATATTGTCAAATTCATAAAAATTGTCGCAAATGACTGGTTCATACTCATTTGAGCATCCCCTGGGATAGACACATTCACTCTTCTTGAATCCCTCCTGCTCTGTAGCGATGCATATATTAGCAAATTGGAAAATGCCATTGCAAATCACAGGATCGTATTCATACGTGCAAGATACGAATTCAGAATATTTCGGTGAGCAGTCGCTTTCCCTGAAGCCTTCCTGCTGGGTGGCAACGCACATATTATCAAATTCAAATGCACCATTACAAACAACAGGGTCGTATTCGTATGTGCACCCT